AATTTATAAATTATTATTTTGTCATATCTTTCACTGTCCGACGTCTCACTTCACCCACTTTTCTGTTGTCCATCCCCCAGGGAGGAGGTTATATGGAGATCCTTGTAGTTGGTTCCACCCTCTCTCCACCCTCCCAGTATCTCCACTTTCACCACTGGTCCTGAAGGGATCATCTGCCCTGGATTCCCTGTGTTTCCAGTTCCTAGCTGTACCAGTGTACATCCCTTAGGACATTTTCTTGTACAGCTTTGATAGTTAGGTGACTGGACAATAGTTACACCAGCCACGAGGGTGGGAGACAGGCCATACTTTCAGTAATACTCCCTTACTAAGAACCATGCTGGTAGACTAACTAACACACGTGACAAAAAACAGAGAGAGCGCAGGAAAACAGCTCATGGACGTTGCTCTCAGGCCGTCATTTGTCTGGCACCCTTAAAGCAATCGATCTGAACCAAACTAAAGTCCAGTGACCACCAAATCCCTGACTTTGGAATTGCAACTATCTGTTTCTTCTCCCACTAGGAGATGTCCACTAGGAGATGTCCACTTTAAGTTCAGAGGAGTACTTCACTTCTTAGTCCTGTGACTAAGAACTTAGTGAGTTGAAGGTAAAGTCCAGTTCATTTCGTGAAGTTCCCAATTTGGGCTACTCTGGTGTGGTCTAGAAAGGGAGTTGTTTACCTGGAAAGGACTTAATCTAATGTCCCCATTGCCTCTAGCACACTGCCTTGGTCACCAGGCGTTGGTTAGAAACTAGGCACCCTGTCATTGAGAAAAACAGATGATATTACTTATATAGACCTCACGGGTACATCTGCGAAGTCGTGTGTCCCCAAGATATGTAGACAAACAAAGCAGTGCAGTAAGGATATGGTCAAATCTTTAGATTTTAGACATCATCACTCTAGGGCTGCTTACCAAAGACCCACCTAAAACAAGACTGTAGAAATACTGAAAGTCAAAAGGATCGACAAAGATGTACCAGGCAAGTGTTAACAACAAAAAATGTTGGTGTGGTGATATTTATGCATTCGCTCTGGGGCGGCAAAAAAAATGCAAAAATGCAAAAAAAATGACCACAAACGCGATGGTGGAAAAGGACAGACTGTCATTCTCTCTGAGTGCTGACGTCGAGAAATGTGCAGGCATGGAGCTCGTGCCACCGGACTCCTTCCACAGGCTTTCAGAGCGGGTCTTCCCTCTCTTTCAGCTTTCGGTTGTCCGTGGCAACAAAACGCCAGTGTCGACCATCATCCTCGCGTAGCTTTCTTCCCACAATGCATTTCGGTGCGTCCACTCCTCTGCTTCAAGGACCAGGCTATGGTCCACCCGAACTTCAAGATGATTTCAGCTCAAAGTCCTCAACTAATTCTATCTGCAGAGATTCTATTTCCCAATAAGATCACAGTCCCAAGTTCCCGGTAGACATGGACTTGGGAGGGTGGGTGCGGTCCATTATTCAAACCACGACAAATCATCTCAGACAAAGTCGATTTCAAGAAGACAGACAAGATGACGTGTTCAGTTCACCAGGAGAAACAGATGGCAGGAGAAACATAAATTCATTATCATAGACGGTGCATTTGGCACAGTGATCAAAAAAGTAAGTAAGGGCTATGAAGATTTGACCATCACAATGAATGAGTTTGACTTCAGGGATTATAACGTGTATTACAGGAGCTTTAGCTTTTTGGTATCTATGGACAATTGAAGAGCCTGGGTGCTGCAAAATCAGCAGTTTAAACCCACTAGTCATTCTTCAGGAGAAAGATGAGGCGGTCTATTCTCATAAAGAAGTGTGTTAGTCTGGGTAGACTAGAGAAACAAATCCATGGACACACATATGTGTATAAGAAAGAGATTTATATACAAGAGCAATTGAACATTGAGAAAACATCCCAGCCCAGTCCAGATCAAGTTCATAAGTCCGATATTAGCCCATATGTCTGATACCAATCTGTAAAGTCCTCTTCAGACTCACGCAACACATGCAATGATGGCGAATGTAGAAGATCACAGGCCAGTGGGTAGACAGTCTTTGGATCCAGTGGCATTGGAAACTTCTCAGCACTGGCAGGGGTCTCTGCATGGCTTCTCCAGAACCAGGACTGCATCAGGGTGGGTCCATGTGTCTTATCAGCTGCTATGTCTCTCAGGGAGTGAGCAGAGAGAGAGAAGTGTCTCCCGCCTCCAAGGAGGAAGTACCGTATTTCCCAGAATTCTCAGGAGAAGGCCATGCCCACACAGAAGCCTCATTGCCTGTGATCTGATTGACAAGCTAGACTCCACCCCTACACTCTTAATCCTCAAAAATACTTAGAGAGCACTGCACTCAACAATTGTAGAATTATTTCCACACCTGGAACACTTGAGAAAGTTGACCATTCTAGATCAAAAAATAATTCTCAATGAATTTCAAGGGGCCAGGTACTAGTCAAACAAAATCCTTTGACCATATGCAATTTAGTTAGAAATGAGCACCAGAAAGATAAAATCTTAAAGTCATATAAAAACAAACAAACATGGAAGTTAAGAAAAATGTTAACTTAAGATTAAAACACAAAAATCATATGGTAATTAGGGCCTATTTAAAACTCAAAATAATAAAAATCCTGTAAATCAAAATGTGTGAGTTCCCCCTAAAGCTGTTCTTAGAGGAATATTTCCAGCCTCAGGTGCTTACATAACAAAGAAGAGACACTCACATGGCTGATTCGCTTCCAATTTTAAAAGTTAAGGAAATGAACAACTGAGGAAATGAAACAAAGTAAAAATGTTAAGATTAGAAATACATGCAGCAGAAAGTAAAGATACAAGCTGGAGAGGATCTCTGAATTTTGAAAAGGTAGAGAAATTCAACAAATCAAGACTGATCAAGGAAAACACTACTGTGAGACTGAAAAAGATCCATATAAATAGGACATTCCGTGCTCATGGGTTGAAAGACTAAATAGAGTGAAAACGTCAATACTACCTCAAGCGATCTATCAGTATAAGGCAACCTTGACACAAATCCCAGCGTTCTTTACTGAAATGGAAAGACTAATGACCAACTTTACGTAGAAAGGAAGGAGGCCAAGGCAATCCTAAAGAAGCAGACCAAAGCAGGAGCCCACACACTCCCTGATATAAACCATTACTATATGCTCTACAACCACTATTAATCAAAATAGTCTGGTATAGATTCAATACTAAACACATAAACCAGTGGGGGAGGGGGGAATGGGAACCCAGAATTAAACCCAGACATCTAAAAGGTGGAATCCACTAGACTACACGCGCTTTAGTTTTTTGGTATCTATGGACAATTGAAGAGCCTGGTGCTGAAAAGTCAGCAGTTCAAACCCACTGGTCATTCTTCAGGAGAGAGGTGTAAAGAAGTAAAGTTTCGGAAACCTAAAGGGGAAGTTTTACTCTGTCTTCTGGGTGGCTATGAGTCAGAATTAACTGATGACAGGGGACTTGGATTTGGTTGGGTTTGATGTACAACTGATTTTCAACAAAGGGTCAGAGTCCATTTGGTGAGGCAGGAGCAATCTTTAATAAAATGTGCAGGCAAACTATATTTCCACCTATAGAAAATGAAATAGAACTGAAACACAAAAACTAATTCAAAATGAATCCAGTCTTAAGTGTTAAATGTAAAACTCCTGGGCAACAACATCATAAAACCATGAGACCTGATCTTTCGGAAAAACAAGTTTGCACACTTGTTCTATTGGTATAACAAATGTACCGATAGAAGAAAAAGTCAGTGATACCTCTTAAAAAAACACATGCCCATCGAAAGATTTTAGTAAGAGAATGAACATCACTTAGCCTGTTCTCCGCAGCACAGATATCTAATGCTGTAAGGTGGAACCTCTCTGCTGAATGAGGACCAAATAGAGAACTAACAGCCCTGCAGTAGATAAGTACACATCACTATTTTATATGTGCTGAGTGGAGCAGATAAGGACTGATATTCCAGGATGAAAGGACTGGAAGTTTACCAGGAGGCAGTAAAATAAGACTCAAGCTCATTGTCTCTGAGTCGATTTCAGCTCAGAGTGCCTCCAAAGAACTTCTCCATCAGGGTTCCCAGGGCCGATATCCTGAAATCCTTAGGGAAGCGGATGACTTCATCTTTCTCCCACAGAGTGGTTTGTGGATTTGAACCACTGACCTTTAGGGGCACTGTGGAGCGTTTTAACCACTGTGTCACCAAGTGATACCACCCATGGGATTGTGCCAACCAGCAATAAGAGAATACCACAAACCCTGGGCATAAAATTAAAACCCGCTCAGCCAGTGAATGAGTTGGGTTTGAGACGCCCACTGAAGCTGGGCACAAGTCACCCAAGGCCGAATTCATTTGTTCCACGTGGTCATCATCCCCTTACCCCACCCCACCCCCCCCACTATGTAACACCAGAGTGGAAAATCTAGTCTCCCCTGAAGTTGATATTGGTCATCCCTAATGTCCCATCTCCTTTTTCTAAGGCCTGCTCTTGAGTTCTTGCCCTCCAGCACCCCGATAGCGAGGCACCCCAAGCCTGTAGCCTCTGCAGCCCTTTATTAAAAGCTTTGCGTACAGCTGAGGAGGAGAAATAGAAAATTAAGGGGTCAATGCACGCATTGAGGGCGCTGAGCAACACGGCACAGGCACGCCAACTTTGGCTTCTCCTTTGGATGAAGCCTACCACGTGAGACACATTGTAAGGCCCAAAACAGACCAGGAAGTTGAAGAGCGTCACCGCAGCCAGCGCCACCGCTCTCCAGCGCTTGCGGGCTCCCACCTGCGGCCTGGACAGCATGATGTGCACGAAGCGCCAGTAGCAGAAGGTGGTTACCGCCATGGGGATGAAGAAGAGGACCAGGCACAGCTCCAGCCGCACCGGGAGCACCAGGGCCAGTTGCTCCTCGGTAAAGTCATCGTAGCAGACGGGGAGCCCTTGGGCCTGCTGGGTCGTCTTGTTGGTCGGCAAGTTCTCGACAATGATCACAATGCTACAGTGTCCGAAGGACAAGACGCAGGAGACCACAGCGGCGATCACGCCGTAGAGGGGCCGGCGGGAGAGCTTGTACTGCACGGGGAAGGCCACGCTGCGGTAGCGCTCGATGCTGATGCCCGCCAGGAGCCAGGTGCTGCAGTAGATGCCGCTGTAGAAGCCAAAGCCCGTGAGGACGCAGAGGAGGTCGCCCAGGGGCCAGTAGAGATCGTAGGCGGCCTCCATGATCTTGAAGGGCAGCAGCAGCAGCAGAAGGAGGTCTGCCAGCGTCAGGCTGAGGAGCAGGACGTGGATGGGGGCAGGCTGAGGCTGCCGGACCCGCCCGATGAAAGCCCGCATGGCCAGCAGGTTGGCGGGAAGACCAATGAGAAAGGAGATGAGGTAGATAAAGAAAAGGCCCAGGCTCCGGGGACTGAGGGCCATCCTTCCTGAGGAGACAAAGCTGGGGTCAGAATCTTCTCTGATCCTGGGCTTTTCCCACGACAGGCCAGATGCCTTCTATTTCCAGCCTCATTGTCATCTGTCTCCTTGGGTGGCCAAGAGAGTGTGACTCACCCTTCCAACTGGCTCTCGTTCTGCGTCCTGTGTCATCAACAACAGGCTGGTTTCTTTGCCTCCCAGACCCCTTCTTTCCCGCTCTCTCCCTTCTTAGTTCCTCCCTGCCTGGGGTGGTGGTGGGGGGGGG